CCGCACCGGCACCGCCCCCGCCCCGCACCCGCACCTGCATACGCCCCCAGGACAGCCCGCTCCCGGGTACACTACACCTGCTGCTGGGCATCACCCTGGTCCTGTTTCTGGTCCCGGGCGTCCATTAGTCCTGACGCCAATCCCTGTCCTCAGTGCCTTCCCGCTCCCCTTTTCAGTCCAGGGCACTGTCCTGGTCCTGCTCCCAGCCCTGGTCCTGTTCATCCCGGATGGATGGTTCTGGTCCTGGTCCTCGTCCCAGTCCGGGTCCTGTGGACTCCAGTCTCAGCCCTGTCCCCCCTCCCCCCCCACTTGCTTCAGTCCTGCTCTGGGCACTTGTCCTAGATCGAGCACAGCCCTGGGCACCTCCAGCCCTCTTCCCAAAGCCACCTCTGGCACCCAATCCTGCGCAGCCCTCCCTCCTTGCTGCCCCATCCCGGATGCACCCCGGGGTGCAACATGGGCAGCCAGGGACAGAGCAGGGGTCCCAGAACACGGGGGTTACCTGTGTGCTCCCCAGGACACTGCAGTGGGGATGTGTGGGTTGGTCCACAGCCCTGGGCTGTTCAGCAGGGAATTTTGGGGGTGGGGGTGGGAACTGGGGACCATTTGGGGTCTGTTCCCTAACTGTGACCCTATAAGCACTTGGAGCAGGGGGGACACCCCAGTACCATGGGGGCCCCCCAAACAGGTGTGCGGGGGTCAGAGCCCTGCGGGAGCCAGGGGAGTGGGGTCAGATCCTGCCCCCCAGCACGGTGGGGCAGGGGGGGTGACCTCACCGTGGGTGACCGAGGAGATGGCTCATGACGTCATGGGGCAGCGGGGCTGGCAGGGGGTGGGGGATGCTGTGCGGGGACCGGGGGTGGGGGGACGCGACCACTGCCACCGCCGTGGCAGAACGGAGAATAATGATGCCGAGGGGGGTTCCCCCCGTGGGAAGGTCGGGAGCAGCGGGCCGGGGGGGCCGGGAGCGTGGCGCCGGCGGAGGCTGAGGCGGCCGTGGAGGCCCAGCCTCGCATTGTTCTCGGGCGGCAGCCGGAAAACGCGACGCCCGCCCGGGAGAGACGCAGGCGGAAAAGGAAACGGGGCTGGGGGCCCGTGCCTGGTGCTGCGGGGGCGAGAATCGGGGTCCCCCCACGACCCCCGCACGGCCCCCACCTGGTCCCCACCTGCCGCCTTCGCCCCTGTCCCACCATGTGCTCGTGCCCGCTGCCCCACGGGGCGAGTGCGGGTCAGCTGGGACAGGGAAGATCAGCCTGGGAAGCGGGGGAATTTGGGGAGGATGCTGATTGCCAGCGGGGTGTCCCTTTGCAGCCCCTCTGCGGGGTCGGAGGCCGCGGTGATGGGCTGAGCGGTGCGGGAGAGGGGCCACAAAGGAGGAGGATGAAGATGAGGAAGAAGAAGGGGGCGATGCCGGGCAGGGCGACTACAAGTCCCATGAGGCCGGGCGGTGCGGGGGGGCCGGGGAAGCACCGGGCGGGAGGTGGCGGCCCGCCCCGCCCCGCGCCCCCCCCGCCCCGCGCCGCCCCACGCCGCGCCCGCCGCGCCGCTCCAGCATGCACGGAGGATGCTCGCGTCTTGCTCGGGCAGGAAGGGGCCGGAGGGCAGGTACCCGCTGCACTACCTCGTCTGGCACAACCGCGCCCGTGACCTGGACCGAGAGCTCAGCGCCAAGCAGGTGGGGCGGCGCGGGGACACTCCCGGCACGGCACGGCCCGGCCCGGCTCCGCTCGGCTCGGGCTGATGCAATGCTCGGAGCCGGGATGAGGATGAGGATGGAGATGAGGGGGGGTGATAGGGATGGCGTCGCTCTCTGCGCTGGCAGAGCTCCGGGAGTGTGGGGTGTGTCCCCACCTGCACCCCGCGACTGTCTGCTGCCCCCGGGGCTATCACGGAGCAGTGGGTACCACCCGCGGCTCCCCTGCATCCTCCGGCACACGCAGCCCCGAGCATCCCTCCACACGTGTCCCCAGCTCCCTGCTAGGCCTCTGCAAACCCCCCGAACCCCAACCAGCACCCCACTTCTCAGGGTACTGCCGCCTCCCTGGGGTGCAGTCACCAGCTTGCCACCGTCAGGTTGAGCCCCTCTGAGGGGGGGGACAAGGACCCTGATGCTGCTGGGGTGCAGCCCCCCATCCCCACGAGGCCAGGCAGGCTCTTCTCAGCGTGAAGGGACCCACTGTGTCCCTCAGCCCGGGAACCTCCCAGCCGCCTGGTCATGGAGCAGGGTGCGGGTGCATCCCCGGCGGGTTCCCAGCCTCCCTCTCCCCCACGGCATTGCAATTCAGGTAATTAAAACCCAACCCTGAAGATGCAGGAAACCGCAGGTGCTGGAGGGAGGCTGGCGGCAGGCTGTGCTGAGCATCCCCACTCCCTCGGCCCAGGTCCTTGCACCCCAAGGCACTGAGGGCCATGCTGGGTGGACTCTGGTGGTGCAGGAAATGGGGGTCATTGTGCCGCGATGCTCCTGCCGGGATGCAGGCGATGGCTCCCGCCACACCCGCCTCCATTGTGGGGTCCAGCCAGAGGCTGCGCCAGCATCGCCCCGGTCCCCCACCCCATGGCCAGTGGTTTCATTTCCGTGGTAATGTGGGGTCAGTTTTCCCAGGAGCCCGGTGCGGCAGAGATCAAAGCTGGGCTCGGCAGACGCGGGGAGATGGAGGGGCTTCGAGGGGGCTCTGACCCGCTCACCTGCAGAGAGGCTTTCTAATCCCCCAGCCTGGCCTGTGGAGGGGCTCTGCCATGGCCCCCGCTGGCATTTGCAGGGTCAGAGCAAAACCAGCCCTGTGTGCACCGCAGGGGTGCACGGGGGGGGGGGGCCATGGATGCTGCAGGCCAGACTCTGTGGTGGGTGGGGGCTTGGGGGAAGGAGGTGGGGGCCAGACCAGGCCCCCTACTCTCTCCAGGGCATCCAGGGACACAGCTCAGCCCCTCTTACTGCCATAGCATCCCCTGGGTAATTGGTTGGGGCTGGGGCTGTGTGTGGTCCTGGGGGCTGGAGGTCCCCCTGTCTTAGAGCTCTGCCCTTCTCTGCCACCCCAGAGACCCACCCGGGGCAGTGACTCCACATCCCTCCAGTCGAAGTGCAGGTGTTTGGGGTTGGGAAGCACTGGGGCAGCATTGTTTCTCTCTTCCCATAAGAGCCCTGTGTGGGTCACCCCCAAATTGTCACCATGAGCTCTCATCCACAGTTTCCTCCACCAGGGAGAGAGGGTCAGCAGGTCTCCAGGGCAGGGACATCACGAGGATGTGGCAGGCAGTGACACAGAGCCTGTTGTGTCAGGACACCGCATGCCACAGCCTGCCCCATAATGCATGACAGGGACCCGAAGCTGCACAGGGACAGCAGTGCCTGGCACCACCTCCCCATGCTGGCCCATGTCCCTCACTCTCACCCAGGAACAGGCACTGGGGTCCTCCAACCCAGGGACAACCCCAACAGATGGGACGTGCAGTGGGACGTGCAGTGCCACGTGCCCAGCTGGCACAGGAGGAGTGGCCAAGCTGCCATCCTGCGCTGCTCCGCTGCCACCCCAAAGCCACCGACATCCCTGTCCTCATCCCCAGGGGGTGTCACACCCTCATGATGGGCAGCACCTGGAGGTCTGTGCCGCAGCCCCGAAGCTGGAGCCACCCCAGCACCAGGACCCAGGACTGAGCTCTTGCTGGCAAAAACTGGGTCACACCATGTCCCCTGGGGTGGCTCCAGCACCGTGTCCCCAGAGTGGGGACCCTCATCCCACCCAGAGTTGGGGCCAGGCTGCAGCTGGGGAGCCCTGCTGAGCCTGCAGCACCCGCCCCCAGCTGGGGGGCGATAGCTTTAATTAGAGTCATTTCATTAGCACAATTAAGAAGCAGCAGTCGCCTGGAGAGCGATGGAGCAGCACATTGACTCCCGGGAAACTGGGGGGCTGTTTTGCTCTGGCAGTGTGGACACACTGGGGGGTCTCCCTGCCTGGTGAGTCCCTGGGGATGCAGCCCATGGGAATGCCCAGCATGGACAGGGATGGGGACATCCCTGGGACAGCAGGACTGCAGGACATGCCTGGAGAGAGGCAGGGACATACTGCGGGTGAGACCCTGGGCACTGGGGAGCCCACACCCCATCTCCACCCATGCCAAAACACTTCTGTCTGCCCAGTCTCAGCTGGCCTCTTTGGGTCCTGCACCCCCAGTTCTCCTCCCCAAAACCCATGATTTGGGGTTTGTCTCACAACCTCCCGCCCTGGCAGCATTGGAGTGCCCCTCTCTGGGCACAAGGCTTCTACACCGGCTGGGTACTGGGGATGCAGAGGGTGGGCCAGACCCTCCTGAGCTGTGTCCCCTACCCTGGGCACGGGTGTGATGCTGCTCCTCACATGGGGAGCGGGGCCCGTGGGTGTTGGGGGTGCCCACCGCCACCGCTCAAGGGATTCCTCGGGGCTGGCGGGGTGCCAGGCTCCGGGTTTGGCACAAACAACGGCAGCCCCAGCGGCGGCTCCCCAGGGCCCCGGGGATCCTCCGAGCAGCCGCTCCGCTCCCGCAGCCGCCCGCCCCCGGCTCAGGCAGGGGAACACGTGCGCCCGCCGCAGCCCACGCCGGCGCCCGCCGCAGCCCACATCGCCCGCCGCGCTCCCGGCCTCGGTGGAGGGGGGCTGCCGGCAGCTGCTGCCTGGCAACTGGGCACAGCCCCCCCCAAATCCCAGAGGTGCGGGCTTTTCCCGAGCTTGCGGCTGCATCAAGATGTGCAAAGCTGTGTGCACTGCACCAGGGGCATCCGTGCCCCTGCTGCCATGCCGTGCCCCTGCTCCGTGCCTGCATCGGGGGTGCAGTCCAGCCTGACCTTGCCGAGCTGTGCTGGGTGCTGGCAGCCACCACCGTATGGCAGTGACTGAGGGAGCAGGAAGAGGCTTTTGAGGTGCATTTCTTGGGGAGAGCTCAGGGGTGGAGATGTTCTCTGGGATAGCGTCAAATGTTGGCTGCTGTCTCTGTCTGGGAGCTGCACATCTGTGGGAGGCTGCTGGGAGCAAGGTGTGGCCACCCTGGTGATCCCAGAGCCCCATTCCCTCCTGGCAGGCCGACATCGAGCAGCTGGACCCCCGAGGACGCACCCCACTGCATCTGGCCACCACACTGGGCCACCTCGAGTGTGCCAGGGTGCTGCTGAAGCATGGAGCCGACGTGGGCAAGGAGAACCGCAGTGGATGGACAGGTGAGCGGGTGGCTCATTGTTTCTGTCCTCCCTCAGGCTCCCCTGGCACAGGCACAGAAATGGGCATAGGGACGGACATGGGCATGGTCGTGGGCACGAGCACAGGCACAGGCATGGTCATGCTCACCTTGGTGCTGCAGCTCCCCAGGGGACTGTTCACATGGTGGTCTGTGCCTGTGGCTCCTGCACAGTGCCCAGCTCTGCAGTACCATGTGTGCCATGCCATGGCCCTGGGCACTGCCCCTCTGCCCCACAGTCCTGCAGGAGGCCGTGAGCACCCGTGACCTGGAGCTGGTGCAGCTGGTCCTGCGCTACCGCGACTACCAGAGAGCCATCAAGCGCCTGGCCGGGATCCCCGTCCTGCTGGAGAAGCTGCGCAAGGTACCTCCCTCCTCCCGCAGGGGCTGCAGGGGGGCTGCCAGCCACGGGCTCCTCCCGACCCCTCTGTGTGCTCCACAGGCCCAGGACTTCTACGTGGAGATGAAGTGGGAGTTCACCAGCTGGGGTGAGCTCAGGGCAGAGCGTGGCTGTGGGAGGAGCGGGAGTTTCCCAGCAGAGTCCCCCAGCCCTGGCACCCATCCCCAGGTCAGGGGTCCCCTGCCCCTTTACCCCCCAGACACCCCAAGCTTGCAGACCCCCATCCCACCAAGGCGTTGGGTTCCCCAGCTGCATCCACCACCCAGCTCAGCGCTGGCAGCCCACTCAGGGGTTCAGGTGGCCCCATCCCCGGCTGGGCTATCGGCATCTCTCCCCAGTGCCACTGGTGTCCAAGATCTGCCCCAGTGACACCTACAAGGTGTGGAAGAGCGGCCAGAACCTGCGGGTGGACACCACGCTGCTGGGCTTCGACCATATGACCTGGCAGCGGGGCAACCGCAGCTTTGTCTTCCGAGGACAAGGTGAGGTGGCCCCAGGGCATCCCCCCACCCTCAGCGGGGAGCGCTGGCAGATTCTCATGGTGCTGCAGCAGGGCACCCCTGTGATGGGGACCGTGGTTGTCCTGACCCTGCTCCCTGCAGACACCAGCGCGGTGGTGATGGAGATTGACCACGACCGGCGGGTGGTCTACTCGGAGACGCTGGCCCTGGCCGGCCATGACCAGGAGGTGCTGCTGGCTGCTGTGCAGCCCACGGAGGAGCAGGTGATGGGGCGGCTGACGGCCCCCGTTGTCACCACCCAGCTCGACACCAAGAACATCGCCTTTGAGAGGTGGGCAGGGGTGGCACCGAGCCCACCCCCAGGGGTGCGGAGCACCCTGGGCTGTCCAAGCAAGCCCATCCATTGCTCACAGTGCTGTGTCGCTCCAGGAACAAGTCCGGGATCCTGGGCTGGAGGAGCGAGAAGACAGAAATGGTGAATGGGTACGAGGCCAAGGTGAGGGGCAGCGGGGGTTGAGCCACCAAGAGGGGTATGGCCAGTTGCAGGTGGGGGTTACCCACCTCTGCCATTCCCCTCCTCATCCAGGTCTATGGCGCATCCAACGTGGAGCTGATCACGCGGACGCGGACTGAGCACCTCTCGGACCAGCACAAGGGCAAAAGCAAAGGTGCAGCTGGCACGGGCTGGGTGGGCAGGGCCCCCCCGGCTCTGCCCTCACCCCCTCCTGTCCTGCAGGCTGTAAGACCCCCCTGCAATCCTTCCTGGGCATCGCTGAGCAGCATGTGGGGCCCAACAACGGGGTGAGTGTCCCGGAGGTCTGGGAGGTGGCCGTGCAGTCAGACCTCCCCTCCTCACCCCACCGGGCTGTTCCCCCACGCAGACACTGATCACGCAGACGCTGAGCCATGCCAACCCCACCGCCATCACCCCTGAGGAATATTTCAACCCCAACTTCGAGCTGGGCAACCGGGACATGGGACGGCCCATGGAGCTCACCACCAAGACACAGAAGTGAGAGGGGAAGGAGCAGATGGGGACCCCCTTGTATCCCCACCCCCAGGGAGACAGGCAGGGATCTGCAGCCCAACGCCTGTGCCCGTCAGGTTCAAGGCGAAGCTGTGGCTGTGCGAGGACCACCCGCTGTCCCTCTGCGAGCAGGTTGCCCCCATCATCGACCTCATGGCAATAAGCAACGCGCTCTTCGCCAAACTGCGCGACTTCATCACCCTGCGCCTCCCGCCCGGCTTCCCCGTCAAGATCGGTATGGGGGGGGCTCTGCTGCTGGCCCAGCTGGCACAGCCAGCTTCCCTCCCTGCTTTTTTTTCTTCCCCTTCCTGCAGAAATCCCCATCTTCCATATCCTCAACGCCCGCATCACCTTCGGCAACCTCAACGGGTGTGACGAGCCCGTCAGTTCCCTGCGGCACAGCCCCAGCAGCGAGGCGCCCTCACCCAGCAGTGACTCCTCCAGCGTCAGCAGCTCCAGCTCCCTCAGTATGTGGGGTGGGAGGGAGGGGTCCCAGCAGGATGAGTCAGACGTGGTTGGTGAGGCGGTTGGTGACCCCAGTGGGGTCAGGGGGACACGGCTGGTTGAGAGGGAAGAGGTCCCAGTGAGATGAGGGGAACACAGCTGGTGGGGCAGGAGTGGGTCACAGCAGGGTGAGGGACACGTGACTGCTGGGGTGGGAGGGGGTCCCTTGGAGTGCCCAGCCGTGCCAGCTCCTGTCTCCCCACAGCCTCGTGCCGAGCGTGCGAGATGGACCCGGCGCTGTTCGAGGTGCCGCGGGGGTACAGCGTGGTGGGCACCCACCAGGATGCCCTGAGGGAGGATGAGGATGACCTGCTGCAGTTTGCCATCCAGCAGAGCCTGCTGGAAGCTGGCAGCGAGTACGACCAGGTGGGCACTGCCACCCCCCTGCCTCCTCCTGCCTGCCTTGCCTGGGGGACTCTGTTGCTCATCCCATCCTGGTGTTGTCTGGGGTGTTCACCCCACATTTCCCCATCCCTGGTGGTGGGGTCAGAGCTCACCCTAGGGGGCTGGGTTTTGGGGTGCCACTCTCCAAGCACCCCTCTGCCGCCGACCACAGGTGACCATTTGGGAAGCACTGACCAACAGCAAGCCGGGCACCCACCCCATGTCGCACGAAGGCCGCCGGGGAGACAGGTTGGTAAGGTCCGGCCAGTCCCCCTGGGGGAGTGGGAGTGGGCACCAGCTCCACAGGGACCCCCGCTGAGCTCCTGCTGCCCCCCAGGACTCCCCAGCACACGGCGGCCCCCCGGGCCCCCATCACCCCGTCCCCGGGGGGGGGCAGGGGGCCCAGCGCCCTGTTCCCCAGCTACGCAGAGCAGCTGCGTCTGGCCATGGCCCTGTCGGCGCGGGAGCAGGAGGAAGCGGAGCGCCGGACGCGCCAGGAGGAAGAGGATCTGCAACGGATCCTTCAGCTCTCGCTGACGGAGAAGTGACCCCGCGCCCCCGCTGAGCCCCTCACCCATCCCAGTGGGGATGGGGACACGGTCAATACCGTGTCTGGGGCCACAGAGGGGGAGCGGGTTGGGGGGAGCCAGTCCAAGAACTGCAGAGGGCAAAGGGGGAGACGGGGCAGGATTTGGCCCTGGTATGGGGGAGAATGTCGCCAGAGCTGGGGCAGCACTGGGTGGGGTGGGGGCACCCCACAGCAGGACAGGTTGGGGGTGGGTGTCAACCCCGGACCTGGGGTGGCAGGAACCAGGGAGGGCAACTGCACAGACTGTATCCCCTCCCCAGGACAGCCCTGGCCCCCCACAACTGCCCTGTGGGGTGCTGTTTAGCACCTCACCCCAGGAAGGTGGTGGGGGCCACAGCCCGCCCCAGATGGGTGGGGCTGCCAGTTGCGTGGGGTTCCGGGGTGCCCCCAGAGCCGGGGGGGCTCTGCCCAGTCCCCTCTTCCGCCCCTTGCCCAGGCGCTACCAAGTGCACTTACCCGGGAGCTGCTCTGCCTGCCAGGGGGAGGGGGGGGCTCAGCCCCATTGCACCCCATAGCCAGTGTGGGGCTGCACAGCCACCCTCCACCACAGTGCGGGGGATCTGCTGGGGCAGCTGAGGGGGTGCCTGTGAGAGGCCGCCCGGTGTCACCCCCCTTACCCCCTGCTCACACCCCTCCACCCTGCTCAGATGCCCCCCCTTGGCAGCGCTGCACCCCCTCGTCCTGGGCACTGACCCCGAGAGAAACCTTACGTCAAATGGTGCTAACCCCGGCCCCCCGCCCCGGCTGCTCCCCCTTTGCACACGGGGGGCCGGGGGCTGCGGGGTGGGGGGCTGGGCTCGCTCCCCTGGGACTTTTCATAGCCGGCGCCCCCCACCCACCCACGCACCCCACAGCAACATCTGGGCCAGGGCCGGGGGAGCCCGAGCAGCTCCGACCGCAGCCAACACCAATAAATGCTCTTTAATGTTTGTCTCTGTTGGCCTCCCTCCGCCTGTGCAAGGGGTGTGTGGGTGGCAGGTGCTGGCAATGGGGTGCAGGCAGGACCCTCTGGCATGGTGGTCCCTCGTCCCCAGTACCTGCCACGTGGCCAAGGGTGGCTGAGCCCTTTATTAAAGGGGTCCAGGAGCAAAGAGCTGGTTGGGAGCACCTGCCGAGGGGGCGATGGGGCAGGGGGAGGTGAGGGGTGATGGGATGGGGATGTAGCACCATACCCAAGCACATCCTGGCCAGGAGGGCCTGGCAGCTCCCCATCCTGGGAGGATGCTGGTGCCCAGCGTGCAGGTCCCCACAGAAGGATGCTTGGCAGCCCCAGCCTGCGGGCACTGAAGTGGGACCCCCTTGGGTGCTGCAGTGGGGTGCCCATATGCTGGGGCACCCCAGGAGCAAGATGCAACTGATGCTAGTGGAGGGGGGGGTGTCAGGGTCCGACCTCCTCCCTGCCCCTTCGTCTCCTGGGGAAAGAACATGGCTCTGGGCTCCTGCCCACTGTGGGGACTCGGCTTTAATCCCCAGCAGGCCGGGGCAGTCCTTGCCCTGCCCGTGGCCTTGGCCACCGCGCTAGTCCGTGCCATTGGTGAACTGGCAGAGTTTGTTCTCCAGGTCGGAGATGCGCTTCTCCTGTGCTTGGACCATCTCCTTCAGGGCACGGATCTCCTCCAACACCTCCTCCAAGGCTGGCTGCTGCAGGGAGGGGAGACACAGGGTCACCAAGGAGTCCCCTTTGGCCCCTCCAACCCACCCTGGACAGGGGGACAGCCTTGCTGCCATGTCCCTGTCCTCAGGACACTCACAGAGAAGTCAGACTCGCAGGTGGAGTGGCTGCGGCGGGGGCCTGGGGGAGGTTTGCTGTCCAGGATGTTCTTCTTGACCACCTTCAGCTCTCGGTTCTTGATGGGGACGTACCCGTCCCGCAGCGAGATGAGGATGGGCTCTGCATCCTTCCCCGACAGCCACTCATCTGCCTCCAGGGCCGGCTCGGGGCCTGGTGTGTCGGGGTACAGGTCATCCTGGAAGAGGTCTGACTGCGGGAGGGAGAGACCAAAGTGAGACGTGGAGTGTCCCCCCCCAAAGACCTCCCATCTCCCCTGGGCCCCCCCGAGCTCACCTTGCGTGGCACCGTCATGACGATGGGCTCACACTTGCGCTCATGGAGCTTGAAGAACCTGAGTGGGGCAGAGGCAGTCAGGGTCCAGCTGCCCCCCCGAACCCCTCTGGCCTCCCACCAGGCTCCTTTGCTCTCACCTGGCAATCTCGCACTTGCTGACATCCAGCCCACGCTTGGGCATGAAGCCCATGCCCCGCTGGGGCTCCTTGCTGCTGTAGGTGTTCAGGTAGTGCACGTAGGGTGCCTCATCTGTGATCTCAAAGTACCGGATGCTGCTGTCACCCTGCGGGTGTGGGGACAGGTGTCAGCCAGCCCCCCGGGGGGGGGGTGGCATGGAGGTGCACCCTGGGTGGGGGGTTACCTTCCCGCAGAGGTAGACAATGCTGGAGTCGGCGTCGTAGAAGGGTAACAGGACCCCGTTGCTCGTGTCCATCTCCTGCAGGGCGATGGGCTCCTCAAAGTTATTCTGCAGGGTCGCAGTGGTGGAGGGGTGTGAGCGGTGGCCACAAAACCTCCACCCTGGTTAGTCACACACATTAGCCACAGCACACTGGGGGACAGGGCTTGTCCCCCTCCCTGGGGTACACAACCCCCGGGCAGGCAGCTTGGCATGCCCCCCCAGACCCTTGCCCCAGTCCTGTTTACCTGCATGGCTGGGTACCCCCCGGCCTGGCTGTACCCGCCTCCCCCAGCACTCCCTGCCTCCCAGCCCCCTCCCCACCCCAGCACAGCACGGCACACTTGGGAACTTGGCATCTTTTGGAGGGGGGATGCTGCAGGCACCCCATCTTGCGGTGGGGGAGGGTGGCAGGGGGTTGGGGGGGGCCAAGTTCCCAGGGCAGCACTCCATGCGGCCTCGTTACCGGGTCCCACAAGCCCAGCTCCCGCTGGCTCATTCTGGTAAAGCCCGTGGTAAAGATGTGTCCTTCCCGTGTGAAGATGGCCCGCACGGGCCTCAGCCCTTCGTGGGGGGCAAACCTCTCCTGGGGGGGAGGGAGGACAGTCAGCATGGGGCATGGGAAGGGGGGGAAAATGGAGGGGGTCCGGATCTGTCCCCTAAAACAGCTGTTGAGTCCTACTCCAGGGGAGCACACGATGCTCCCGGGGCACACGCGCTGCCAGAGAGTACCCCCAGCACCCAAAGCATTCCTGGCTGGGCTGAGCTCTGCAAGCTCGGTGCTGGCTGGGCGGGAGCCACCGTCTCGTACCAGGTCCCAGAGGCCCAGCTGCCGCTCACTCATCTTGCTGAAGCCAGTGGTGAAGATCTTGCCATCGGCCACGAAGATGGCGCGGATGGGGCGGGTGCCGTCGTGCGGTTTGGTTTTCTCCTGCGCCGGCGTTAGCGGGTTAAACCAAACACAGAGACGCGCGGTGCGGGGGTTAGTAGGGTCAGGCAGGCACGGGGGGGACCCCGCGGCGGGCTGGGGGGAGACACGGCAGGAGCACTCACCGCTATGATCTGCTGCTTGCGGGGGTCGATGACGCGGACCTTCTTGTCCTTGCAGGTGGTGACGAGGAGGCTGCCGTTGCGGTTCCAGCCCACGTTGTAGATGAGGTCAGTGTGCATGTCATCCAGCGCCAGCAGCATCTCCCCCGTCCCCACGTTCCAGAGGATCACCAGGTTGTCACAGCCTGCAGAGGACCAAGGGGGCAGGTGCTGTCACCCCACAGATCCCCTCTGACCCCGGGGAGGGCAACCCGGGACCCCCTTACCTGCGCTGAGCAGGACGTTGCGGGCGGTGGGGTGCCAGGAGATGATGCTCACCCGCTTGGAGTGTCCCTCCAGCGTCACCACTGGCTCCGTGATGTTGCGCACGGGGACATAGTCGGGGATCTGCCACACCTGGGGGAGGGACAGAGAGCGGGATGTTGGGGATCACCCCGCATGTGAGGGCTAAGCGGATGAGGGCCTCGGAGCCAATTAACCTCATCGTTAATCTCGGCTCAGCCTGCAGGGAGGGTGGCAAGGGGACTCCAGAAGCGCCTCCATCCTGGGGTGCAACCTCAGCATTCGGGGTGCTGGTGGGCATAGGGCGGGGGGCATGGCCGGGGCGCAGCCCCCAGCCCCCCCCAGCTATTCCTGGGTGCTGAGTCGCCAGGGCGGGTATATTTAGCACAAACTGCTGCATCATGGAGCGAGCAGCCGCCGCCAGCGCGAACGCATGGCACCGGGGCTAAAAATAGGCCAGTGACACTCCGCAGGCAACGAAGGGGGGGGGGAATGCTCTGCACCGCTCCCCCAGCGCCCGCTGCCCCCCCCCCCACTCGGGGTCCAGCCCCTCACCATGACGGTGGTGTCCTCCGAGGCACTGGCGATGACGTTGTCGTTGTGGGGACACCAGTCGATGTCCAGCACGGGCGCCGTGTGTCCCGTCACCAGCGGGTGGTTCTTGTCCACCCGTCCTGTCTGCAACGTTGAGGTGTCAGAATGAATCTCCAGAGGTTGGGGGCAATCCTGCCAGGTGCCCTGGGAAGCCAAGCCCAGCCCAGCCAGGGGTTGTGGCACAAGTGGGGACATGCGGGGGATCCCTGGCAGTGGCCAGAGATTTGCACCTGCCTTGAAAGGGGGAAACCGAGGCACGGAGGGGGAATGGGGTTCACTTGGCGTACAGCCCCATAGGAACACAGAGGGGAACAATGTGCCCCTGAGAGACTGGTTTGTGTCCCTTCTGATGGCATAGAGGGGCTGGGGACCCCTCTTCCATTCTCTCAGCCAGGGTTGGCAAGGCAGACCCCACCCCACTGGGTGCTGCTCCATGGGCATCATGTGTCTCTGAGGAATTGAGGAACTGGGGAGAAAGCACCTGGGGATTTCCCACATCACCTCAGTTACCCCTGGGATGTTACTTTTCACAGGTGCTGATGATCAGCCAGGCTGTTTCTGCCCTGAGCCCCCACGTGAGGAGGGGCTGTTGGGGCAAAGCTGGGGGGCTCTGGGGTCACCCAAAAGCAACACTCATCATGAACCCCCCCAAAAGCAACACCCCACCAGCATGTTCCCCCTAATATATCCCGGGGAGGCAGCCAGATCTCAGCATCCTCCCCACTCACCTTGGCAAGGGGCAGGACAATGAAGGCCCCCCCGCCACCAGACTCCACGATGATGGCCACAAACTTGGGGTTGACGGCGCAGAAGGAGCTGTCACATGTCACCTTGGAGACGCGGATGTCCTCGTACATCTGGTCGGCCTTCACCGGCTGCCCGAAGACGTGGCGGAACTTGCTCTGGCGCACCACGCGGCGGCTCATGGCTGGGGGTCACAGGGTCAGGCCACCACCTCCCCACCCTGGTACAGCATGGAGGGGTTTTGATCCCCTCAGACCTCGTGCTCTGAGTTACACCCTCTTCCCTGGGCACAGCGGGAAGCCTGGGAACACCGAGGTGGCCGGGGGTGAGGATGCAGGATGGTGCCTGATGTGGCCCCGACCCCATGGCAGGGACTGGAGGCAGCCCTTGTGCAGGGATGTGGGGGTGCTGCAGGTGCTGAGGGTGGGCAGCTGGTGGCCAAAGCCACTTGACACTGAGCAGGGACACAGCTGTGCCATGATGTGCAGGTGTGCCATGTGCTACCACTGTGCCACGTGCCACGGTTGTGCCATAACTCACAGCTGTGTCACATGCCACGGCTGTGCCATAACCCACAGCTGTGTCATGCCCCACGGCTGTGCCGCGTCCCTCAGCTGTGCTGTGCCCTGTGGCTGGCACTGGGTTTGGCACATGAGCAGCTGCAGTAGAGAAGCAGGGCTGAGGGGACTTTGGGGTGGACCTGTGACCATGCACCGGCTCACAGCTTGTCCCCTTGTATCCCATCCTGCACCAGTGAGGCTGCCCGGCCTGACCCAGCGCCCAGGAGGGAGGCTGTG